AGGCCAGAAATGTCAGCTTATTTATCGTATGATTTTTTTTCCAGCTGTCATTTTTTAGAGACAGATATCCACCTGTTCAGTAGGATCCGTCACATACCTAGTGTAGAACAAAGCACATGGATAATGATTCGTTTAAGGCAGGGAATTCCGAACTACATGGACATCTGTATTTTATTTTGGAGTTCGTTCTTATATAAAAATATGACCTTTGGTAGCGTCACTGACATAAATCAGCCTGCAAATGGGCCTGCATCGCTCACCTGGTATTAATCTCACAATTGTAACCTTAAAAGTAGACTTAAATGAAGCTACAGGAGAAATATCAGTGTCTTGACTCAAAGTCATTAAAAAAGTCTGTTCTAAGATTTAAGCACATTTGATCCTTGTGACCTTGAAAGTCAAACAAAGACATTAAGTTGAACAAACTTTATAGCCCTTCATCCCAGAATGCAACTTCCTAAATATCACTTCCCTATACCTTTTGTTTATTGAGATGCTGAATTTTAAAGATTTATAAACAAATGACCAGATGTGAGCTTGAAAGTTTGTCAAGGACATACACATGAACAATCTTGATAGCTCTTCATCTGAGCATGCTATTGGTCACATATCACCATCCTATGCATTTTGGCTTTTCAGAAGAAGTTTTTTTTTTTTTTTTTACATATTTGACCCATGTGACCTCAAACCTTTCATCCCAGCATGCCACTAGCTAAAGGTGATCATCCTAGCCATCTTTTTGTTTTGGAGAAGTTGTTTAAGGTTTTGACATATTTGACCCTTGTGACCTTGAATATGGATGAAGGTCATTCATTTGAACAAACTTGGTAATCCTTCATGCCTGCCTGCCCTAGCAAAACATCATCACCCTTGACATTTTGGTTATTCATCAGAAGTCGTTTTTAAAGGTTTTTTGAACCAACTGATCCCTATAACCTTGGATATAGGCAAAGGTAATTCATTTTAACAAAATAAGTAACCCTTCATCCTAGCATGCTTCTGGCTGAATATCAACACCCTAGGCCCTCTGGTTATTAAGAAGAAGTCATTTAAAGATTTTAAACATATTTGACCCCTGTGACCTTGAATTTCGGCCAAGGTTATTAATTTGGACAAACTTGGTAGTGTTTCATCCAAGCATGCTTCTGGCCAAATATCATCAACCAGGGCATTTTGCTTATTCAAATGTTTTAAACATATTTGACACCAATGACCTTGCATAGAAGTCAAGGTAATTCATTTGCACAAACTTGGTAGCCCTTTATCAAAGCATAAATTTTGCCTAATATCATCATCCTGGGCATTTGAGTTATTCAGAAGTCGTTTAAAGATTTAAAACATATTTGACTCATATGACCTTGAATCTAGGTCAAGGTCATTCATTTGAACAAAGTTGGTAGCCCTTTATCAAATCATGCTTCTGGCCAGATATCATCAAATCCTAGGCCTTCTGGTTATTCAGTAGAAGTCGTTTAAAGATGTCAAACATATTTGACCCCTATGACCTTTAATTTTAGTCAAGGTCATTCATTTGAACAAACTTCGAAGCCTTTCATCCCAGCATAGGTAGCCCTTCATAACAGCATGTTACTGGCCAAATATCATCATTCTGGGGCACCTGGTTATACAGTACAAGTCGTTAAAAGGTTTAAACATATTGACCCCTGTGACTTTGAATAGAAGTCAAGGTCTTTCATTTGAACAAATTTGGTAGCTGTTTATCAAAGTATGTCCCTGGCCAATTATCATCACCCTGGGCCTTCTGGTTATTCAGAAGAAGTTGTTAACAGATTTTAACATATTTGACCCCTGTGAAGTTGAAAATGGGCAAAGGTCATTCATTTGAACAAACTTAGTAGCCCTTCAACCCAGCATGCTACTGGCCAAATATCATAACCCTGGGCCTTCTGGTTATTCAGAAGAAGTTGTTTAAAGTAAAAAGTTGACACCAGACGGACAACGGACAACACACCATGGCATAAGCTCACTTGGCCCTTTGGGCCAGGTGAGCTAAAAATAAGGTCAAAGCATGGCACACCTGATGCCAATATTTTGGGAACATGTGTTCATTCAACTGAATGACAGAGTCTTTGCCTATTTACAGTTGGTACACATGGAATATTTTCTGAAATATTATCAGTTTCTTTCACTTTCAGAATGACTTTCCTGAGGATCCCTGTCCTACTGTTTTACGGTTTTTCCTTTTATATACAAACAGTATACCCTCCCCTTAATTCAATGTTTGATATAACTGTTGTACAATTGTGCCTGGACCAAGTAGCTCAGTCGGTCAACATTATGGAGTCCAGGGTTTGATTCCCGGTCTAGTCCTGTATTTCTTATGCTCAGAAAACTGCTGTTGAATATGTTTTGTTTATTTCATCTTTATTACTTTTGATACAATGGTGTCCAGCTTTCTTTTCAAAAAGTATTTATCAAAGCTATAGGCATGCCCATAAAAACAGTTTCCAATTCATGGTCAACAATTGCTTTCGTGGTACAGGGATCTATACAATGAATTACTTGTTAGAGAAGAGTGGAAATCTACTAAAAAATCAAATTAGATGATAATGGCATTTGTCTACTGAATGTACAGACTTTGTTTCTAGTTTATTGTAGCATTCTTCAAGAGCACTCTAAAAATTTGATTGGCGATACCTGGTGGTTTCATTTATATTTAAGCTGCTTTGGAAATTGTAGTTCAGTTCTGACTATAAAAAAATATCTATACAACAAATCACATTTCCCTAATACTATTACTATAACCGTATTGTCTACCATTGTCCTTGAAAATGGCCAAAAGACATAAATCTTCTCCTTCAAACAATAGATTGAATGTTAGATTAAAAATCTGGCAACATACCAGGTTCAGTTAATGTATATCTCCTTTCCATTAGTTTAAATAAAATCTAATCCTTTCAGAAGTAATGTCTGCTTACAAGGAATCTCACAGGAATAATACCACGACAATTTCAAATGATCTTTGTCATGTAACAACCAAAGCTAAATTTTTTGAAGTCAATTTTTTTGCACTATGTTTTTTTCAACTCCAACAACCCAGGTGGAGTATAAAATGGTCTGGGGTGGATGTTGCGGTATCTGTAGCATTCAAGTTAGGTGGCACTATAAATGGTATCGTTGGAAGCACAGTCCCACTGCAAACAGAACACAATACGTCTCCAGCACACACACAGGCATACACACATAGGGAGATATTAGCCAGGTGACATAGGATTAGTAGTTAGCGCCTGATAAGGCAGCTCCTGCGAATTCCTCAAAATTGAATTAATTAATTAATGTATATGCTTATTGTATTAATTGTATATCTATGTACTGTAATGCGCTTTAGAGTGGCTTATGTTAGCTAGATAGGGCGCTATATAAAATGTTGTATATTATTATTATATTATATGCCTGAAAATTGCTTGTCTGGGATTTCTTTGGTACATTCAATTTTGAATGGAATTTTTTCTTCTATTTGTTATTGAAATCGTTGAAAATGTCAGCAGATTGTTTTTGCTTCTTATATTCTGTCCATACACGGACATGGAATCAGTGTTACGACCAAGCTGTCCTTGTGTCCAAATTATGATTGAAACAGAACACTTTCTATTTGAATCAATTCTGTCAATTGTTCAGATATTACTATGTAAGAAATAAATTAATTTGTTTCTCTCCTGTTTTTTTCTGTCAAAGATTTATCTTCCTCGTCTACAGTACATTTTGTAGGTAAGCACTCCTTATCTCACGCCAAACTTTTCTCAGACCTGTTTTGTATGATTGGAGCTGTGCTTGGTTTTCCCTGTGATGACTTGCACACTACCACAATTGATACAATTTTGAGTTTTTCAGTGATATTCAAAAATACAGATCTTGTATCTGGAATGTTTCTTGATTCTTGACAAAGACTACAGATGGTGGCTCATTTTCAGGAAAAGTTTTAATTCAAAGTAATTTGTTTTTCAAGATAGAATGCTAAACCAAGTGAGATTTTGCCTATTTTTCAGCCATTATTAGTACCTTAATTGGTACACCCTTTCACAGGCTATGAAACTTGTTTTTATTGAAAATAAATGCTTTTATATATCTTCATGCATATTTGGTTATAGGGACCAGAAATCAACATTTAAACATACTAATAATTAACCCCTTCAAAAACCTCCAAAGTTTTCTCAATGTACATCAGTTTTTCTGGTTTTCCGACATGTTTAGTTCAAAGTCATTGATTGTGTACTTTTAAAATGTCGCTGAAAACAAAACTATTTGGTGGAAATGCTGATCAATATCTCTTTTGCTATACCATCAGAGGACATTATTACACACAAATGTCATTTTAAGTACTATTCAAACCATTTTCTGACCTTGTATCAATTTTGTTAGCGTGACGTTATAAGTTTGAATAGCTCAAAGGTTTAACCAACACATTGTAAATGAAATAGCGTGAAGATGCACCAACCTGTTTTTCTAAATACACAAACAAAACAGCAATATTTATCATTCATTCAGACGTAACCAACACCTTTCGGAATAAGGTTCATCAGTTTGGTATGAATGATAAAGGCTCAGTTTGTTTTGAACACAAACAGGAGTTGTAAACTTATGTTACGAGCTTTTGTCAAGCACGTGACCATCAAATTAGGTATCATTGTACTCTACCTCTCATGAGGTTTAGTCACCGTTATATGGAACAATGGCACTGTCTGCTACGTACATTTGTAGCATTATTTTGACTTTAATTTTTTAAGCAGTCACAACTGAATAGGGAGTACATGTACACAATGCATTCAACTGATAAGCAACTTAGGTAAAATAACATAATATTAAGAACACTTACCTAATGTATATAATAGAGTTAGTTGGTTGATAAAGTACAATCTATATACAATCTATACGGACAATAAGGAATGGCACACACTGTATTGGTACCTAGGAATATAACTCTCACAATGTCTGCTGTTTATAGTCCTTCATCTTTTTATCATCAACAACAAGACAACAGGTGAATTCAACTATTGAGTTTAATGGATGATGATGAGGATGATACAATGTATGTATGACAATACAACATGCAATGTTTATACTCACCAGAACACATATTAACAACACATGATATTTCTGATCATATCCGACTTGTCCCTCATACAATAAAAACCGAAGTCGTCCCTCAAAGGATGGAATCTAAGAGAAGCTAAAGATAATGTGTTTCTTTCATCAAAAATAAACACTTGGCCAAATATTTGCTGGAACTGGGCTGTACATAATTCTTTGAAAATGTTAAACATCTTGGATCTTATTCCACGCTGTTCTACATTAAGCTTGTCTCACATTAAAACACTACTATTTCCGATTACTTTGCTCTCATTATCTGTTATATATAATCTACAGAATGACACAAAACAGTTCACTACCATGGCTTATTAACTCATTCACCCCTGAAATTTCATAATGAACTATTCCAACCTTTGAATTTGAAGAGCTGAAATGTGTCTTCAGGGGTGAATGAGTTAATGACCCAAACAGCATTTCAGTTCTTTATCCAGACATACTGGCAATAAAATGTTCTACATTGCAGCTTATTGGGTGACACAAACAGCATTTCAGTTCTTTATTCAGACATATTGGCAATAAAATGTTCTACATTGCAGCTTATTGGGTGACACAAACAGCATTTCAGTTCCTTATCCAGACATATTGGCAATGAAATGTTCTACATTGCAGCTTATTGATGACACAAACAGCATTTCAGTTCTTTATCCAGACATATTGGCAATAAAATGTTCTACATTGCAGCTTATTGATGACACACACAACATTTCAGTTCTTTATCCAGACACATTGGCAACAAAATGTTCTACGTTGCAGCTTATTGATGACACAAACAGCATTTCAGTTCCTTATCCAGACATATTGGCAATAAAATGTTCTACATTGCAGCTTATTGGGTGACACAAACAGCATTTCAGCTCTATACAATGGCATATTGGTTATACAGTAACTCCCGTATTTTGTAAAAGTCTTCACAAATGGACCCCTCCAGCTGAATTTTACCTGCTTCATTCTGAAATGATAAAGAAAGATAGCACAATCAATGAACACTGTAACAGTAGATGTTGGACCAGAACTGAAAATAATATTTTGTTGCATATTTGTTTCCTTAATCTGGAAGGAATTAACGATAGGGCAACCTCGAATCGTGCCTCAATCTACATGTATATCTCTTTGAAGTTGCCAACATGTTTCATATGAAGCTTAGTTCAAGGTCTGAATAATGACAGGATCAGATGAAACAGTGACAGAGAGAAAAAGGATTTATTTTCATCTTGTTAAAAAAAAAAGAAAAAAAAAGGAAATGCAATTACTGTGTTTAAATTTGTTGAGTAATCAAGTCATCATCAAACAAAAACTCCTGATTTTCTTCCAATGAAATTTAATTAAAACCCTTACTAAAAATGAAAGGAAATCAAATACTTATAAAAACACGACCCAAAAGACCGATTACAGAAGCAAAGGACTCAATCCTAATGTCATTTGCACTCACTCATCTAACACACCTCCGACTCAATCCTAATGTCGTTTGTACTCGCTCATCTAACACACCTCCGACTCAATCCTAATGTCCTTTGTACTCGCTCATCTAACACACCTCCGACTCAATCCTAATGTCCTTTGTACTCGCTCATCTAACACACCTCCGACTCAATCCTAATGTCCTTTGTACTCGCTCATCTAACACACCTCCGACTCAATCCTAATGTCCTTTGTACTCGCTCATCTAATGCACCTCCAACTCAATCCTAATGTTGTTTGTACTCGATCATCTAACACAGCTCCGACTCTCATTCTAATGTCGTTCGTACTCGCTCACAGGCATATCATCACCTGTTAGACTCATACTTTACTTAAATTCTCATGATGTCCCGTAAATCCATTTGCTACTTTTCTGTACCTGTTCTAAAGGCTTTATATATAAAGGCCATATTTGTATTGTCATGTCTGAAATGTTCATTGTTTTTTCAAGAATTTTTGCAATCTTTGAGGTTTTTGTTTAGTTTTAATCTCTTCAGTACTGCTAACACCTGATCACATCAACGTAACCAACATTCAGGTCGCGTGACAAAGAAACAATTCACTTTAATCATTCCTTGGGGTCATTCTCAAAATGACATTAAACACAAAAAATATGAAGGTTGAGAACAAAAATGGAACCAGATATTTCCTGACATTTGTCTCCTGTTGATGTTAATAGTTTTAGATGTCAAGTTTAAAAGGCCGTGTTCATCTGGTCTCATCTCGTCATGTAAAATACTTTTACAACATTTAGTTTTTTTTTTGTTTTTTGTTTTAAATCACCCATGAGAGAGGACTCTAAAAAAGAAAAACATGCATAATGAAATTAAATTTGCATCAGTGGTGATTGATATTATATCAAGAAATCACTGATCACTGCATGGTCCAGTTAACTTTCAGCCGTTTCCAATTAACTTGTAGTATTGTCCATTTAATTAAAGCAGAGACTAAACATAAACTTAAACCAAATTACTTAAGTGTCAGCCTGGTACCCGTCAAACAGGATACAAGCTTTCTGGACAGGCTGTCATGATACACAGAAGACAAGGCTACAGGCTATCTGGACAGGCTGTCATCATACACAGTAGACAAGGCTACAGGTTATTCTGTCATCATACACAGTAGACAAGGCTACAGGCTTTCTGGACAGGCTGTCATCAAGCACAGTAAACAAGGCTACAAGCTATATGGATAGGCTTTCATCATACACAGTAGACAAGGCTACAGGCTATCTGGACAGGCTGTCATCATACACGGTAGACAAGGCTAGGAGTATTTGGACAGGCTGTCATCATACACAGTAGACAAGGGTACAAGCTATATGGATAGGCTGTCATTATACACAGTAAACAAGGCTATAGGCTTTCTGGACAGGCTGTCATTATAAACAGTAGACAAGGCTACAAGCTATCTGGATAGGCTGTCATCATACACAGTAGACAAGGCTATAGGCTTTCTGGACAGGCTGTCATTATAAACAGTAGACAAGACCACAAGCTTTCTGGACACAACAGGTAGGCGTGAACTCAGAAGAAAATTTAATCTATGTAACAGAAAGCTGTAAGGTTAAACTTGGATTACACAATGGTTACCTCCCTTTGATGGTCACACTACTGTTATACAAGAGGATTAAGGGTAACCTCCCCTTTTGATGGCCACACTACTGTTACAGATGATATAATGGTTACCTACCCTTTTGACAGCCACACTACTGTTACAGATAAGGATACAATGGTTACCTACCCTTTTGACGGCCGCACTACTGTTACAGATGAGGATACAATGGTTACCTACCCTTTTGACAGCCGCAATACTGTTACAGATGGGTATACAATGGTTACCTACCCTTTTGACAGCCACACTACTGTTACAGATGAGGACACAATGGTTACCTACCCTTTTGACAGCCACACTACTGTAACAGATGCTGATAAAATGGTTACCTACCCTTTTGACGGCCACACTACTGTTACAGATGGGTATACAATGGTTACCTACCCTTTTGACGGCCACCCTACTGTTACAGATAAGGATACAATGGTTACCTAGCCTTTTGACAGCCACACTACTGTTACAGATGCTGATAAAATGGTTACCTACCCTTTTGACGGCCACCCTACTGTTACAGATAAGGATACAATGGTTCCCTCCACTTTTGAAGGCCCCACTCCTGTTACAGATGGGTATACAATGGTTACCTACCCTTTTGATGGCCTCACTACTTTTACAGATGAGGATACAATGGTTACCTACAATTTTGACAGCCACACTACTGTTACAGATGGGTATACAATGGTTACCTACCCTTTTGAAGGCCACACTACTGTTACAGATGGGTATACAATGGTTACCTACCCTTTTGAAGGCCACACTACTGTTACAGATGGGTATACAATGGTTACCTACCCTTTTGAAGGCCACACTACTGTTACAGATGGGTATACAATGGTTACCTACCCTTTTGAAGGCCACACTACTGTTACAGATGGGTATACAATGGTTACCTACCCTTTTGAAGGCCACACTACTGTTACAGATGGGTATACAATGGTTACCTACCCTTTTGAAGGCCACACTACTGTTACAGATGGGTATACAATGGTTACCTACCCTTTTGAAGGCCACACTTCTGTTACAGATGGGTATACAATGGTTACCTACCCTTTTGATGGCAGCACTACTGTTACAGATGGGTATACAATGGTTACCTACCCTTTTGATGGCAGCACTACTGTTACAGATGGGTATACAATGGTTACCTGCCCTTTTAACAGCCACACTACTGTTACAGATGGGTATACGATGGTTAACTACTCTTTTGAAGGCCACACTACTGTTTCAGATGGGTATACAATGGTAACCTACCCTTTTGAAGGCCACACTTCTGTTACAGATCGGTATACAATGGTTACCTACCCTTTTGATGGCAGCACTACTGTTACAGATGGGTATACAATGGTTACCTACCCTTTTGAAGGCCACACTTCTGTTACAGATGGGTATACAATGGTTACCTACCCTTTTGATGGCAGCACTACTGTTACAGATGGGTATACAATGGTTACCTACCCTTTTGATGGCAGCACTACTGTTACAGATGAGGACACAATGGTTACCTGCCCTTTTGACAGCCACACTACTGTTACAGATGGGTATACGATGGTTAACTACTCTTTTGAAGGCCACACTACGGTTGGAGATGAGGATACAATGGTTACCTACCCTTTTGACGGCCACACTATTGTTACAGATGGGTATACAATGGTAACCTACCCTTTTGACGGCCACACTACTGTTACAGATGAGGATACAATGGTTACCTACCCTTTTGACAGCCACCCTACTGTTACCGATGATGATACAATGATTACCTACCCTTTTGACGGCCACATTACTGTTACAGAAGGGTATACAATTGTTACCTACCCTTTTGACGGCCACATTACTGTTACAGAAGGGTATACAATGGTTACCTACCCTTTTGACGGCCACACTACTGTTACAGATGAGGATACAATGGTTACCTACCCTTTTGACAGCCACCCTACTGTTACCGATGATGATACAATGATTACCTACCCTTTTGACGGCCACACTTTTGTTACAGATGGGTATACAATGGTAACCTACCCTTTTGACGGCCACACTACTGTTACAGATGAGGATACAATGGTTACCTACCCTTTTGACAGCCACCCTACTGTTACCGATGATGATACAATGATTACCTACCCTTTTGACGGCCACACTTTTGTTACAGATGGGTATACAATGGTAACCTACCCTTTTGACGGCCACACTACTGTTACAGATGAGGATACAATGGTTACCTACCCTTTTGACAGCCACCCTACTGTTACCGATGATGATACAATGATTACCTACCCTTTTGACGGCCACACTACTGTTACAGATGGGTATACAATTGTTACCTACCCTTTTGACGGCCACACTGCTGTTACAAATGAGGACCCCAGCTATAAACTCGGCCTGGAATCCTTCCTGTAGTAGTACCAGTTTGAAGTCTGAGAGTTTTGGTTCGTTGACAAATACAGCTTTGTGCCCCTCTATTTGGTGTGGTTGAACAGACTCAAGAGTAGGCACAATTTCCATTGCCTTCTCTTCCTCATCCATTTTCTCTGTAAAACAAATTGAAAATGAAAGTAGAAAACAATCGGACATCTTTCTTCTTTTCAAGTCAATGAAACAGACATTTAAATTTCGGAAAAACATGAACAGAGTTTGGCTATACAAGTGATCAGATTTTGTTTAATCATTATAATAACAAAAATATTTTTTAATACATGTGTATGCTTGATTGAAATATACTTTAACATTCTTTTAAACTTATCAAAAGTGCTGACAATGCATATTATAAACATAAGCTATGGACCAGACAAGCATTATACTGATTTGACCTTTGACCTGTTGTGAAGAACTTGAACTTTGAGATATGACCTTGAGAGTATTTCACTTCAATATAATTTGAAATACAATGTGGTAAACATAAGCCTATACATAAGATGCTGTATGATCATACTTCGACTCAAGGTATGTTCAGAATTCGTCCAAAGTCAAATACGTTATGAGATGAAATAACATCTAGTGGGAGACTATTCCAGATATCAATTATTCTTTGAGTAAAGTAATGATTTCTAATATTTAAATGACAATGTTGTTTAAGTATTACATATGGTTATGGGGTGGGGATCTCATCTGTTTCAAAGGTATGACCCAGAGACTATGTATCCAAGGGTGGGGCCAGACCGAGGAGCCATCCTAAAAAGCATACTGTTTGTGTATTTGTATCTATATACTCAGCAATTGTAAACACGGTTATAGGGTGGGGATCTCAATACTGTCCAAATCATAGACTCTTTTTGGCTATGCCCCTCAGACCTGGGAGTCAGCCCTTCAACTGGTACAATTTTTAATACTCAACCACTAAAGAATGCTCCCAACAAAATGTTGTTGATATCTATCGCTTCATTCTACAAAAAGAGTCACTCAAAGCAATATGGCCAGATTACCTATTTATGCCCTGGGGGTCAGCCCTTCCATTTGTACACTTTTGAAATCCCGCCACCTAAGATCACTTCCATTCAATTTTGGTTGAATTCCATTCATTGGTTAAGAAGAAGGATGCCACGTTATCGCATAAGCTAACCTTGGTCCTTCGGACCAAGTGAGCTAAAAAGCAGTTGAACTTTAACCCCTTGCCACTACACTTCATGCCTCTCACTTTGAAGGGTAGAGATGGGTGGGGAGGGGGTTGTTATAAAACACTTCAATTGGGTTTAACAGTTTGTTCAGATTGAGGTGCCATGTTTCGTCATTCACATGCCACTGTACCACTCTACATGATCACCTGACATATTTGATCATACAAGTGCAGTGGGGTGCTTGTGACACGGAATAACCATACATCCAGCTAATCTATATTATATCTCTTTCTGTCTCTCCTCCGTTAACATTTTAATGTACTCTTAAGACATGAAATAGATGGAAAAGCTTGCGGAATTATCAAATTAAAGGCCCTGTTCCGATCTGTGTATCCTCTTTATCCCTAATTATACCTGTTCCATCCCACAAATTCAAAATTGGATACAGTAGAAAAATAATGGTGCCATGTAATTTATTCTTATAGACCGAGCAGAACAACACCCATATAATTATCACTTCAAACAAGTCCTGGTAATCATTTTCAAATTTTAAATGGCAGCATAATTCATTTATAATGAGCAGTACATGTGAACCGGGAATAATTTACAATAAAATACATAACAGTGCCATTAACACAACAACAAGTGTACGCTGCACATTCCTAATGTATCTTGTGTCGGCCAACAGCTATTGGCTTATATTTATACATGCATTAAATTTGACCATTTTATAATAACATTACATCAAATACCTTACTCACTCTTCTATCGGTAAACCAGACTCAATAGGAACATACAGGCCAGGACTAACTAGTTTAATTGTCGTCACTCTGTCTAAATTATCTGAACCCACACAATATGTCAGAAATTGTTTTGTATGTGACCAATATGGATAGATAATAGCATCAGGAACTTTTATGTGAATTTGGTCTGTCCTGTTTAGTTAAATAATGTCTGTTTGGTCCCAAAATCATTTAATTTTTGGATATCAGTTAATTATTCATAAAGGGAGATAGTCTCTATTGCCACTTACATAGCTAGTGTCTACTGACCCAACAGTCTATACATTGTCATCTCCATCGCCTCTAAAAGCATTTCAAGGTTGTTGTTGCTGTATATGTTTTATATCCAGAGGTTGTCTCTATTGACACTACAAGGAGATTGTCATGATTGACACTATAAGGATATTGTCACAAATGACACTATAAAGATATTGTCTCTATTGACACTACAGAGAGATCGTCTCTATGGCCAATATAAGGAAAATATCTCCATTGACACTATACAGAGATTGTAATGATTGACACTATAAGGAAAATGTCTCCATCGACACTATAGGGAGGTTGTCTCCATTGACACTATACGGAGATTGTAATGATTGACACTATAAGGAGACTGTAATGAATGACACTACACAGAGATTGTCTTCATTGACACTAAAAAGAGATCGTCATGATTGACACTACAGAGATTGTCTCTAGTGACACTATAAGGTGATATTGTCTCCATTAACACTATGGAGAGGTTGTCTCCACTGACACTATCAGGAGAATGTCTTTATGACACTATAGAGAGGTTGTCTCCATTGACACTACAGAAAGATAGTCTCCATTGAAATGATAATGAGTGTCTCACAAAATCACACTATAAGGAGGTTATTTCCACTGACACTACAAAGGGAATATATCTATTATCACGACTAGGACATATTTTTCTTATTCATTACAGGGATATTGTCAGGACTGACATTAAAGGGCAATTGTCTCCATTGACACTATTCCGTCTTTTCGTATTGCAGAGTTATCTGCTCTTGTGAGCAGGTTTTAATTGTTACGTCATTTGTTTGTGAGAGTAACGTCATCAATTTTTGAGAAAACGACGCAATTTTCTCACACAACCCAATGACGTACCAATCAATACCTGCTCACAAGAGAAGATAACTCTGCAATACGCAAAGACGGAATAAATAAAGAAGAGTTATTCCCCCTACCATCATTTGTTTTTAAGTGATCTTTGATAAACATCACATTAATTTAGAATGTCACCAAAATTTTGTACAAAACCAGTAGTTCATACCTAAGGGGTAGTTTGTCACTCCTATGATGTCATTTGTTGGACAGGCTAATGTTTCATTTGATCAGCTTACCTTGTTGTAGTCTCTTCTCCCTGGCTTCCTCAGACAGATCGCCTTCCTCCAGCTCAAACATTGGACTAGTGTCAGTCTTGCCCTGACTCATGTCCAGCATGCCCTCAAGCCAGGCCAGTTCGGTGTCCTTAGCTTTCTGGAAGTCCAGTGCACTGACCACGTAGTCCCTCAGCCTCACCTGAGCACAAATAATTTATTTTCAATGTATTTTTTTAATGCTGTGTGTTGATACAGTCATGTCATGTTTAGAGTATCACCTGATGTAATTGTTCACACAAGGGACAGTACCCAAAATGAATCAACACACCATCTTTTACTGCATTCATTGAAAATTCAGCTGATCAATTATATAAGTTAATAGTTTGTCAAAAGAAGAATATTGAGTGGTGTTCTTACCAACGAAATACACACCAAGGTCTCACCTGAGATATTTATAGAACACTGATGTCACCAGTTAGTGTTTCCAGTATTTTTGCAATGTCAGTAACCAAAGTGGATCACAGCTTGAGTTTAGTAATATTTTGAGCTTGAGTTTAGTAATATTTTGAGCTTGAGTTTAGTAATATTTTGAGCTTCAAATGAACATTTCTTTGTCAGCATTTTAACATTTTATGATGATGTTTGGAATTTGAATGAATACAAGTACATTGTATTTCAATATTCTGAATTTATTACTACAGTCCAAAACACAAAATCTAGTCCTCGCATACGCCATATTTTAACAACGTAAACAAAAACAAGTTTTGAGTTTGAAATACATTGTACATCTTCAGATGCTATTTGAACTTATAAATTCCTCATCTTTAGACTAAAACTTATGCATAACTATGTGTTATAAGGATACATTAGTGTAATAAGTTAAATGTTGACACATTTATTAATTTGAAAGTATTTTTGCAAAGAGTGATTCGATTTGGGTACTGAACCAATTTTGGATTTATCCGACTTAACAAGATGTCAAAAATGTTTTTTTTTTGTTAACAGAAAAAGTGACAAAGGTAAAAGGTCACTTGATCCTTCGGCTGAGGTGACCTAAAACCAACTGAGGGTTGCTGTGATGAAAATTTTAAAATTAGCACACTAAAGGAACATTCAACACCTTAGCAAAATTTAAAATGTATTATTGAAATTCAGGACGAAGGACGTTCATGAATTTCTTAAAGGAATTTCCTGCCAATTATTACAATGCCAGGAAGCCAAGCAAGCTTCAGACAATCCAAGTTATTTTTTTTATATGAGAAATAGAGAAACACAATATATTATAGCCTTATAAGAATTCAATGTACAAAACCCTTCATGAGTAACGTGATTGCTCTGAATTAGTTCTGGGCTTGAGAAAATAGATATTAACGCTTTTCTAATCAGTGTGCTATGCAATAATAGAAAAGAGGCCACATAAGGCCATACAGAAATGCGTGCTGGGAAAGGACCAATCTGTACACATAATTATAATTACTGAGGCTATAAATGTGTTGAGAAAATATGCATGGTTTCAGAAAAATGGTACGAATGTTACACAGCTTTAATTTCCACATAAAGGGTCCATCATGCATCAATGTATGACTAAATCAGTAAATATCAAAAGGCTGTGTGGTCAGTTTAGAATGGAATGTCCTGATACAAATATTAAGTAAATATCAAGAGGCTGTGTGGTCAGTTTAGAATGGAATTGTCCTGATAAAAATATTAAGTAAATATCAAGAGGCTGTGTGGTCAGTTTAGAATGGAATGTCCTGATAAGTTTAGAATGGAATGTCCTGATACAAATATTAAGTAAATATCAAGAGGCTGTGTGGTCAGTTTAGAATGGGAATGTCCTGATAAGTTTAGAATGGAATTGTCCTGATAAAAATATTACCAATATTTCAAGATTTCTCTTTTATGTACTTCAGACACACATACATGTGTAACAAGAAGTTACCACCAGACACAATACAAATATTAAGTAAATATCAAGAGGCTGTGTGGTCAGTTTAGAGTGGGAATGTCCTGATAAGTTTAGAATGGAATGTCCTGATACAAATATTAAGTAAATATCAAGAGGCTGTGTGGTCAGATTAGAATGGAACGTCCTGATACAAATATTAAGTAAATATTAAGAGGCTGTGTGGTCAGTTTAGAATGGGAATGTCCTGATAAGTTTAGAATAGAATTGTCCTGATAAAAATATTACCAATATTTCAAGATTTCTCTTTTATGTACTTCAGACACACATACATGTGTAACAAGAAGTTACCACAAGACACACATACATGTGTAACAAGAAGTTACCACCATACACACATACATGTGTAACAAGAGGTTACCACCAGACGCACATACATGTGTAACAAGAAGTTACCACAAGACACACATACATGTGTAACAAGAAGTTACCACAAGACACACATACATGTGTAACAAGAAGTTACCACCATACACACATACATGTGTAACAAGAGGTTACTCCCAGATACACATACATGTGTAACAAGAGGTTACCACCAGATACACATACATGTGTAACAAGAGGTTACTCCCAGATACACATACATGTGTAACAAGAGGTTACTCCCAGATACACATACATGTGTAACAAGAGGTTACCACCAGACGCACATACATGTGTAACAAGAAGTTACCACCATACACACATACATGTGTAACAAGAGGTTACCACCAGACGCACATACATGTGTAACAAGAAGTTACCACCATACACACATACATGTGTAACAAGAGGTTACCACCAGACGCACATACATGTGTAACAAGAAGTTACCACCAGACACAATACAAATATTAAGTAAATATCAAGAGGCTGTGTGGTCAGTTTAGAATGGGAATGTCCTGATAAGTTTAGAATGGACTGTCCTGATACAAATATTAAGTAAATATTAAGAGGCTGTGTGGTCAGTTTAGAATGGGAATGTCCTGATAAGTTTAGAATGGAATTGTCCTGATAAAAATATTACCAATATTTCAAGATTTCTCTTTTATGTCCTTCAGACACACATACATGTGTAACAAGAAGTTTCCAGCAGACACACATACATGTGTAACAAGAGGTTACCACCAGACGCACATACATGTGTAACAAGAAGTTACCACCATACACACATACATGTGTAACAAGAGGTTACTCCCAGATACACATACATGTGTAACAAGAGGTTACTCCCAGATACACATACATGTGTAACAAGAGGTTACCACCAGACACAAATACATGTGTAACAAGAGGTTACTACCAGATACACATACATGTGTAACAAGAGGTTACTCCCAGATACACATACATGTGTAACAAGAGGTTACCACCAGACGCACATACATGTGTAACAAGAAGTTACCACCATACACACATACATGTGTAACAAGAGGTTACCACCAGACACACATACATGTGGAACAAGAGGTTACTACCAGACACACATACATGTGTAACAAGAGGTTACCAGAGTTACATGTATATAAATATAATTACTGACCGAAAAGTTTGAAGTCACTGGTTATGATTTTTAACATAATTTTTACACCCAACAAATCCTGCAAAATCAAAGGAATCAAACTTTGTTTGTGCCATATTAATATAATAAGTCCCCATGTACCCTATTAACGACGTCCGTACAAACATTGTAGGGATAACAACATGCACATTGTGTTACCATGGTAACGTACCTGGTAGATGTGGCTCTCCCTGGTCACATCCACAATCTCGCCCACTTTGGGGGTGAAGATCTTGCCTTGGACCATGCCCTCAAGCTTGCGACAGTAGTCTGCCAGGGAATCAGTAGCCTCTGTCACAGCTCGCACTAGAATCTAGAAAAGTTCAGAGGTCAAGTACTAAAATTTGACAAGGTCACAGCTTGTAAAGTAATTCTGTAAAGGTCAAAAGATCAAGGTAATTAGATCAAAAAAGGTCTCGGCTCACACAAGTATCTGTAAAGTTTAATATTAAAACTGGACACGGTCAGTTTCTGGACAGGTGTATAAAAGTAGGTTACAAATTCCCAGATTAATTAGGAAGGTCAACATATTTAAACTGACTAAGGTTAGTATTTACTCAACAAAACTGGACAATGTCACAGAAGTATTGTTACCCTAGAAAGGTTGTGTGGCGCAGTGGATAGCATACTTGCATTTCACTGAGATGGCCAAGGTTTAACTCCCCAATCTGACGTAAAAAGGTACTGGATCACCTGCCCAACAACATGGGGGTTTTCCGTGGACTCAAGTTTCCTCAAGTTACAATGTGTTGTAACATTGAGTTTTTTCTACATTAAGACCCTCTGTGCATTTTCATAAATGTTGTAAAATAAATAAAGTTTACAAAGAAAGGTTGAGATAGGAAATTAGTCAACAAGGTTTGAGCATCTATATAAAATTTCTCTTACAGAATAAATATGGTAAGTACATAGTATCATTAAACTGCTTGTAAAGGTGACACTGGGGATAAATACTAGGACTTATTGTATCTCCATGACTTGTGTACTGTAATAGCCTGTGGGACTCTTTATCCTGGACCCAACTTACCAGCTGCCTAGGTTTGATCTGACTCAAAATTTTCTTGATGGATTCTCCGTCAGATCGACCCTCGAAGTCGATATACTGAATGTTGGCGTTGATGTCGAGTGTAACGGTGGCGGATACACATTTGGTCGGCACCTCTGACACTTCTGTAACACAGGTAGATTTAGTACAAAGGTTAGATAACTCCAAAGTCTCATAAGTCACATCTCAAAGTCATTTATGTTTCTAATTATTGAGTCAGTGACCTCTACCAAAGCCTCCTTTACTATCACAGATCTACCTTAAAACCAACATTTTAAGTGGTCCTGAACTTTGAAAACTACAGACTTGTTACCCCATGACAAATAGTGTATCATCGTGAATAAATAGACAGTGGTGCCCAATAATTACTGGTATATCTAATTACCTTGCATTGATTCCACTTCCCGCGCCACACTGTCCTGAAATTAACAAAAGGCAAAAGGTGACGAAAAATGGGATAAAACATGCCTCCATATATATCAAGGTAAATAGAAAATTGAGTTAAGCTAGAACATTTACAGACAAGTTCTTTGTTATGCCTGTAAACATATCCTGTACTAATTCAATCAGCTAAACAAGAGGCCCAGGGGACCTGTTTCGCTATGGGTTTGGGATCTCATCCATTTCAAAGTTATGACCCAAGAATTTTGTCCCTATGAGTTGGGCCAGACACAAGGGTCACTAATAATATCATGATGGTTTTGGTCTCTCAATGCCAAGCAATGGTACAGTGTATATATGGTGATGTGGTGGGGATCTCAATCATTTCAAAGTTATGACCCAAGAATTAAGTCCCTAGGGGTAGGGCCTGACCTCAGGACCAATCCTAATATCATAATTGTGTTCGCATCTTGATGCCCAGCAATGGTTTATATGGTTCTAGGGTGGGGATCTCAACCATTTCAAAGTTATGGCTCAGGAATTAAGTCCCTAGGGGTGGGGCCAGACCTCAAGATCAATCCTTATAGCATAATTGTGGTCATGTTTTAATGCCCAGCGATGGTTTATATGGTTCTTGGGTGGGGATCTCAACCATTTAAAGTTATGGCTCAAGAATTAAGTTCCTAGGGGTGGAGCCAGACCTCAAGATCAATCCTTATAGCATAATTGTGGTCATGTTTTAATGCCCAGCGATGGATTAGATGGTTCTTGGGTGGGGTTCTCAACCATTTAAAGTTATGGCTCAGGAATAAAGTTCCTAGGGGTGGAACCAGACCTCAAGATCAATACTTATAGCATAATTGTGGTCCTGTTTTAATGCCCAGCGATGGTTTATTTGGTTCTTGGGTGGGGATATCAACCATTTAAAGTTATGGCTCAAGAATTAAGTTCCTAGGGGTGGAACCAGACCTCAAGATCAATCCTTAAAGCATAATTGTGGTCATGTTTTAATGCCCAACGATGGTTTATAAGGTTCTTGGGTGGGGATCTCAACCATTTAAAGTTATGGCTCAGGAATTAAGTTCCTAGGGGTGGAGCCAGACCTCAAGATCAATCCTTATGTCACGATTGTGTTTGTTTCTTGATGCTCAATTGTATACATGCTTATAGGGTGGGGATATCGATAATGTCAAAGTAAAATTTGAAACCACCTGAGAATGCTTTCAGCCAAATATGGTTGATATCAATCACTTTGTTCCAGAGAAGTCGTTTAAAACAATATGGATAAATAACCCCTTTTGGGCCCTGGCCCTCAGCCCCACCTCCTAGGGATGCTTCCAAGCAATCATTTGAATAAATTGTAAATATCAAAGGGAGTAAACACATCTGTCAGTCCTTATCTGCAGGTACAATCCCATATCTACAGATGTAAACCAATATCTATAGGTGTAAACCAATATCTACAGGTGTTATCCTATATCTACAGGTGTAAAGCAATATCTACAGGTGTAAAGCAATATCTACAGGTGTAATCCTTTATCTACAGGTGTAAACCAATATCTACAGGTGTAAACCAATACCTTAAGGTGTAAACCAATACCTTAAGGTGTAAACCAATATCTACAGGTATAAACCCACATCCACATTCACCATTGTCTGCATGCACACATTTGACCATGGCTACAAATTTAAAGTGAATTGCTTTAGGATTGTGAAGTATGCAACTTTTACCTTGCATGTCAACCTCTCTATAATTGCAGCACTTAAATCTAGGTTGTATATTTATTGGATCTGTCAGAGTAGGAAATGCTTTTACACACAATCACAAAGTTTTTGAACAGCCATGCTGAGTAAAACCATTAAATATCATTAAAATTTTAGAATGACAAATATTTCTTACATAACATTTTGACAGCTAAACTGCATGTCAAACTTTAATGCAAGCTCTGAAAAGTTACCTCAGCAATAACTTACAGATTCCCAGGGGAGAGACATGCGTCTAGGACAGTTTTTCCAAATGTTGAATTAAAGGAATGAAATAATTTGTAGACACGAGTATTTACCCAATGCATGTAACTGTGGCAGAGCTGTATGTAACGAGGTGGAGGATAGCATTCCTAATCAATGGATGGTGGGTTAGTGATTCCATAAAGTACTCTCCACATGAAATTGTCTCCAGAGAATAATCAACTCCATCTCATTCTAGTCTTCGAATTCATGACCATTTACAATATTTGCTAGAATTGACAAATAAAATGCTAGGCAATTGATTACACAGGAACACTGTTCATGAGTCATTTCAATGTAAAACTTATTTGTAAAATGACCAAACAACAGTCAAGAGTATGTACAACATACAAGTATCATCCTGTGTCACATGGTACAATCCAACTCTGAGGTCATCCTGTGTCACATGGCACCATAGATCTCTGAGGTCATCCTGTGTCACATGGTACCATAGATCTCCGAGGTCATACTGTGTCACATGGTACCATAGATCTCTGATGTCATCCTGTGTCAAATGGTACCATAGATCTCCGAGGTCATCCTGTGTCACATGGTACCTTCTAACTCTGATGTCATCCTGTGTCACATGGTACCATCAAACTCTGAGGTCATCCTGTGTCACAGTGACCTCTACATAATCTGAGGTCAATGACCCAGTGACCTATTTACACTCTGGGATCAATGTCAGACTAACACTTGCACACACAAAGGTCGATGCAAGTGACATTTGCACACAGGTATGTTAATGTTCCAGTGACCACTAAAAAAGATAATGGCAATGAAATAAAGGTTCTTTTACACTCTGCGGTCAATGTCACAGTGACCATACATAATCTGATCTCCATGTTAATATATCCTTTTTTTACAATCTGAGGTCAATGTCAGTGACCATACATAATCTGATGTCAATGTTAATATATCCTTTTTTTACAATCTGAGGTCAATGTCACAATGATTTCTTTACATTCTGATGTCAATGTCACAGTGACCTCTATACAATCTGATGTCAATGTCACAGTGATTTCTTTACATTCTGATGTCAATGTCAAAGTGACCTTTTTTACAATCTGAGGTCAATGTCACAGTGACCACTACATAATCTGATATCAATGTCATAGTGACCTCTTTACACTCTAAGGTCAATGTCACAGTGACCATACATAATCTGATATCAGTGTCATAGTGACCTCTTTACACTCTAAGGTCAATGTCACAGTGACCATACATAATCAGATGTCAATTTCACAGTGACCTTTTTCACAATCTGAGGTCATTATCAGTGACCATACATAATCTGATATCAATGTCACAGTGACCATACATAATCTGATATCAGTGTCACAGTGACCTCTTTACACTCTGAGGTCAATGTCACAGTGACCATACATAATCGGATGTCAATGCTACAGTAACATCTATCCTTGTTAAGAATCTGATGTCACTAAACACACTTCTCCAGTGACACATCAATACAATACTAACTAAGTAATGTTCACGGAGATCAATAGTATTTTTTTTACTTGTCACATTCTGGGCAATCAATTAAAACCTGAGATCAATTGATTCCATGTGTTCACATTTAAACACCTGATTTTATCTCCTCTTTCAGCAGTAAACTGCACATTACACCCAGTTTGATTATCTTAAAAATGCATATTGAAACATCTTAAGATGGCTCCAATAGGTTGATATGGCAGGACTTTCTCTATAATGGAAATGTTAATGTCGATGAAATCAGTAGATCAGGGATGAAACCTATTTTAACAAGAAGTAGTGGGAAAAATGATAGAAATCCAATGTTTGATTTCTCTGTTAAAAGTATGGTCTAAAGAGTTTTATTTACAATAGAAAAGTTCACAATGTTGAGTGATTTGATTAAGAAGCTACCAGGGAGAATATAATACAGTGACATTTGAAAGGCAACTTGATCTCGGTGGCATTTTATTTTGGTGACAATTACATTGAATATACAACTTCCATTAAGCATGTGGTATACTGGAGGCCATTCTTACTAGATACATTTGTGGCATCTATAATGATAATCCCAAACCTAGAAATCTTTTTTGAAATAGTTCATAATTAACTAGAATTTTGTTTTTGTTCACAAAAACATATGTCTTCCCCTTATTAGCCGATAGAAAAACTCCAGTATAAAAATTAACAAAGAGCCATATCGCTTTATATAGTGGGGCACGAGACCCGAATTTAGAATTCGACACTCCTACTTACCAAGATACATTAAAACTTTAGCAAATTTGGTCAACGTAGGTGAAACTAGAACACTGACAGGTCAGTAAGGGCCCCGTCTTGTGGCAATATATCCCCCATAATCATCAAGAAGCAATCTGCCCATATAGCTGAGCTTGTCGTTTGCCATTTGGACTTCAAAAAAAATCGCAAGCAAGCAAAATATACATTTTACATGTACTATGCTGTGAGTCTTGTTTCCTTCCACTTCCATATTTGCTGGGCTAACAGAAATGTAAATACCGGTGCAATACTCATTTGTTAGCTTTGATTTGATTTATTTCACCTTAAATACCTCCCCCATCAAGAGCCAGGAAAGTAAGAGATCCACTTTGTCTTTGACCTTTGAACCCAAATGACCTTGACCTTTAACCCAGTGACCCTGATCTTTGGTCAGTTGACTCATTCTTCAATTCCGACCAACTTTGCTTCATAATATCATAACAAAATGTTCAGCAGTGAAAAATAATAAAATACATAACTTGACCTTGAACCTAAACCTTTGGAACCCGTAACCTTGACCTTTGGACAGTTGACTCCGTGTTAAGTTCTGAACAACTTTGCTTTATAATAGCATACACAAGGTTACCGCGAGCGGTATATAATACGCCCGTCACACATTGAATGAGCAGTTGTTTGTATGATTGAAATATATGAAGTATTTGTGAGTAATTGATATTAAAAGAGAAATCATCCAACATAACTGGTAGATCAATGAGTGCAATACAACATCATGGAACGCATGCATCGCATTAATGAAACCAAGGGTAATAACTCCAGTAAT